AGACACTAAATAACGCATGCAATGCTTCCACACGTTAACACACACACACTAATACATAAAAAAATGTACATGCTAATACACAAAAACACATCCATTGTTAATACTCACTTAACAAATCATCAGTACTTTGCGCATTTCTGATATGCCCCAGTGAACCTAAATGTGCAATATGTGAGTGTTACTTTGATTAGTTATCCATCCCGTAAAATTTGATGAACTCTTTTAATTTTGAACAATGATTAGCTTGTGTTTATTTTTTGCATTAGTATGTCTGTATTTCTTTGGTGTATCAGTGTATGAGTGTGTTTTTGTGGTATTAGTGTTGGTCTATGGGTGTTTTTTTTTGGTATTAGTGTGTGTGAATAGAACATTTTTGTTTTGGAGTGTGTTTTATTTGGTGTATGTGTTAGTTTGTATTTATATAATAGCGCATTTTTATTGTCTTTATTTGTTTGTTGTATTAATGTGTGTGTGTTTGCGGTATATTTCCGTGTATGTGTTTGTGGTAAATTTTTGTGTGTTAATTCGGTGTGTGTGCATGTCTATGCTAATTAGTGTGTGTGTGTTTGTTTTAGCGTGTTAATGTGCAAGTGTGTGTATTTGTGTTTGTATAATAGTGTTTATTTTAGTTAATTAGTGTGTGCATCTTTGGTTGATTAGTGTGTGTATTTTGGTGAATTAGCCTGTGTTAACACCACATGTGATGGAGTGTATGTATTTTGGTGAATTAATGTGTATGTGTTTTTGGCGTATCCTTGTGTTTAAGTGTTTATTTTGTGGTGTATTAGTGTGTATTAATAGTGTATGGGATGGTGTATTAGCGTGTTGTGTGTGGGTGTATGTGTTGTGTATGTGTAATAGAGTGTTTTGGTGTCTATTTTTGTTTTCATGTATTATGTGTGTTTTTTTGTGTATTATTGATTGTTAACACAGTTTGTGGGTATGTATTTTGATATATAAGTGTTTGTGGTGTGTGTATTTTTTTTGTCTTGGAGTGAAAATGTCTGCATGTTTTTGTTGTTTTAGTGTGTGTTAAGACAATGTATTTTTGTGTATTAATTTGTACGTTTTTATGTGTACTAGTATATGCATATTTGTGTAATCCCATCGTATATATGTGTATTAGTAGTTGTAATAGAAAAGACTAACCTCTACTACAACTACTTTGTTGTCATACTTGGTGCAATTTATTTCTTAAGTTTTTGTGGTATGACTCGATGTGTAATATTGTCTATTGAATATTGTAGTACCTTAAAACAATGGAGGAAAGACCAAACTGTTGAAATTTGAGAGGCTTATAAAACAAAAATCGAAGTAGTTACTGATTTATCATTAGGTGAGCTTGTGACGATTATAGATTTTTGGTTGAATATTATGTCATTTTTGTAACTCAATGTGTGCTATTGCTTATTGAGTGTAATATCTTGAGATGTGGATGGAAGACCAATTCATTGAAATTTGGTAGGCTCGTAAAACAACAATCTAAACTGTTGCAAATTTACTTTCAGGCGAACTTGTGAAGAGTGTAGATTTTTTTTTGAGTGTTGTATTGTAATTATATTATGGTATAATTATGATAGTTTTTTTTTTTTTTCTATTTCTCGTAAAATTCTTAATTATTACCTCTGATCTCAATCTTTTGCTTAAGATTTCTTGTAGTTATCGAACTATGAATACACTAATGTTGAAGCTTGAAGATCCTACACCATGAAGCAATCCAAGCAGATTTACCACATGTGATGTAGTGTGTGTATTTTGGTGAATTAATATGTATGTGTTTTAGGTGTATTAATGCATTTATTTTTTGATGTATTAATGTGTGTTAATAGTGTATGAAATGGTGTATTAGTGTGGGTGCGTGTGTTGTGTCTGTGTAATAGTTTATTTTGGTGTCTATTTTTTTGATGTTTAATGTGTTTTTTGGTGTATTAGTGTTTGTTAACACAGTTTGTGGTTATGTATTTTGATATATAAGTGTTTGTGATGTGTGTATTTTTGTGTCTTTCAGCGAAAATGTGTATGCATGTTTTTTGTGTATTAGTGTGAGTGTTAATACAATGTGTGTTTTAGTGTTTTAATTTACATGTTTTTATGTGTATTAGTATATGTATATTTGTAGAGCAATGCTATTGAGACTTAATTTATTAATCTAATTTGTTGATCTAATTCACTATGACTTTTAGATTGATTATGAGCTCTATCAAACATTGAAACTTGGTGATCTAATGGTTTCACTGAAGCCGTATCATTATGTCAGTAAATTAAGTCAGATTTTTAGATCTAAATAATAATACTCATTTGTGTAATACCGTTGTATATATGTGTTTTTGTGTATTATATAGTAGTTGTAATAGAAAAGACTAACTTGCTACAATTACTTTGCTACCATACTCGGTGTATTTTATTTCATAAATTTTTTGTGCTATGACTCAATATTGCCTATTGAGTGTTGTAGTACCTTAAAACGATAGTGAAAAGATCAACCTATTGAAATTTGGTAGGATCATAAAGCAACAATGCGACTTGTTGCAAATTTACCATCAGACAAGCTTGTTACAGGTATAGATTTTTCTCTTAGTATTGTATATTTTTTTTTTGGGGCAGAATCAAATGGCAAATGAGACAAAATAAGAAAAAAAAATAGAAAGATGTATCACGTATTGTATGATATTAATATTGTGCTATAATTTTGTTATCGTTTTCTTTTCTTCTATTTCTTGTAAAATTTTTAATTATTGTCTTCGATCTCAATCTATTGCTTAAGATTTCTTGTAGTTATCAAATTCTGAAGTCACGAATGTTGGAGCTTGAAGATCCTGCTCCATGAAGCATCCAAGCAAATTTATCTTTAGGTGAGCTTGTAACGGTTGTAGGTTTTTACTTGGGTATTGTATGCTATTGCAATGACTCAATGTATGCAACTGCTTATTGATTGTAGTACCTTAAGGTGGTGGAGGGCTCGTAAAGCAACAATTCAAGCGGTTGTAGATTTACCTTAAAGACGAGCTTGTGACAGGTGTAAATTTTTTTGAGTATTGATTCTGTAGTATAATTTGTTAACATTTTCTTTTCTTCTCTTCATGTAAAATTCTTAATTATTGTATTCGATTTCAATATTCTACTTAAGATTTCTTGCAGTAGGGTTGTTTGACATTGAGGGGTGTACAGAAAAAAATAATGTTTTTAGTGAGAAATTGATGAATTTTGTATTATTATATGAAAGTAAAAAAAAAAAGGGATGAATTTTAACTATTGTTGTTGTGTTTTTATAAATTGTGAATTCAGTTTTCTAATTGTAATATTAAATAGATTTAAGCCACAAATTAATAAAAAATTATATAATTTAATTTTTGTTAGAAGTGGGTGATCTATATCTATTTAATTTTTGCCCTTATAAGAAATTATAAAGGTTAACATGTTTTTGTATATTTAAATATAAAAATTATTATTATATACCTCTATCTTTAAATAATAAACTAACTACTTGCATATCATGTAAATCTCTTTATCTTTACAAAACTTTTAAATAAAAATATTTTTTTTTTCAAACTCTAATATTTATATACATTGACAATTTCATTGATACAATATTATCCCCGGTGCTAAAAAATCAATGTGTATCTTTTTCTCTTTATCCACAATACAAATAATTTAAATATGATAAACATTATATGATATCTAATTTAACTATATAGTTAATATTTTATGTATTTTATCAAATGTTTTAATGAAAACTTTTACGTGCAATGTTCGTGGTGTATTGCTAGTGTAATATAAATGGACGAAAACAATATATGGGGATTCTCCTAGTTCCCTTGTTATCTAAATTTAATACTACAACTTGAAAGTTTAATTCTGAAGTTATAAAAAAATATAACAACGATTAAGATTGATATATTTTTTATCTACTTTAATCTAATAATATAAAACTTGCCCCCTTTTTGGATCAACACCATTATCGATGTCAGACAACCAATCAACACAATCCCAATGTCAAACAATCCTATTAATCTATACCTATCTTTCTCTCCTCTCTCTAACTCTCTCTTATTTTCTGTATATTTTATTTTAAGCTCGATTCAGTTGGAAAGGAGGTAGTTGTAGCTTGAAATGAGGTAGTAATTTAAGACGGTATTGATAATGCAGCTGCACAAAGTATTGTCAAAGATAGCTGCCATATCATAACTCCACCAGAAATCATCTGAAACATGGGGTAGATGTAATCCTGATGTCATAATGATTCTTAATGATGTTTTAGACCATATCCATTATGTAATCCTCATATCATAACCTCACCAGAAATCATCTGAAGCACCAATAAAAATCTCCTAAATAAAGACCAAACATTTGTTAAAACAAAGAAGACTACTGCACTGGAAAATATTTGAGAATAGTATATAAAAAGAGATCAAGAAGAGACTAGATTAGTTCTCTAAAGCAGAATGGTACTGAATAGTCTATTCTATCATCAATCACCATTTACAGGTTTTGAATGATATTCAAATTTCTTAGAGCCAACTAAGGCTGATCATCTTAACCTAATCCTCATATCATACCCCCACCAAAAATCATATGAAACATCATTAAAGATATCCTAAATAAAAAACCAAATATTTGTTAAATAAAGACTGCTGCACTAGAAAATATTTGAGAATAGTACATAAAAAAGATCAAGAAGAGACCAGATTGGTTCCCTAACAAAGACTGCTGCACTAGAAAATATTTGAGAATAATATATAAAAAGATCAAGAAGAGATTAGATTGGTTCCCTAAAGCATAAGGCCACTGACTAGTGCCTAGTCTATTCTATCATCACCATATACTAGTTTCGTGGGATATGCAAATTTCTTAGAGCCGACTAAGGCTGATCAACTTGACGTAATCCTCATATCATACCCCCACCAAAAATCATCCGAAACATCGTTAAAAATTTGTTAAATAAAGACAAAATATTTGTTAAAACAAAGAACTGCTGCACCAGAAAATATTTGACATGACTATATAAAAAAGTTTTGGTTCCTTAAAGTACCAGGGCACTGAATAGTCTACTGTGTTATCACCATTTACAAATTTCCAGTGATGTACTTCATATGCTTAGAGTATCCTGATCGTTAATTCACTGGTGATGTGTGTATGCTCACAATTAAAAGCACACGTCTATATAAGGTTATCAAATTAGATTTCTATATTGTCGAATTGATATCGAAAATGAGTCGCAGGGGTAACTTGCATGATCCCAGTGGCGGTCAGGTTTTTTTTCCTGAAGAGATTGTACGTCCTGATGATTTGGGAGTGGAAGAGAAGCCTGATTGTCCTCCTTGTCCAGAAACTAAGGTGATTGTGGTTGAGAAGATCGTTCCAGGACCTGAACGAGTGGTGGAGAAGATTGTGCCTGGACCTGAACGATTGGTGGAGAAGATTGTGCCTGGACCTGAACGAATTGTGGAGAAAATCGTTCCAGGACCTGAGCGAATTGTGGAGAAGTTTGTGCCTGGACCTGAACGAATTGTGGAGAAGATCGTTCCAGGACCTGAACGAATTGTGGAGAAGCTTGTTCCTGGACCGGAACGAGTTGTAGAGAAGATCGTTCCAGGGCCTGAACGAGTGGTGGAGAAGATCGTGCCAGGACCTACATATCCTACGTCTACATCATCAAGTCATGGTGGAAATATGTCTTGGGAGCAGTATCTTACATCTGGAGTTGCAATTAATTGGAATAATGCTGATGTCAGATATCATGCTAATCGACTTGGTATCAATATACCAGGAGGACCGTCTCCCTATGGTGGTGGTGGTGGTGGTGGACGGTGGTGTTTGAATTCATGCGGACAGTGGGTATGGATGCCGTAGGCTTGCTTGCGTACTGCACTTGATCTTGCCAAATGGACGAACCTCTCCTCTCTCCTCTTTTCCTCTGTCCCATCTTTTTTTTTTTTTTTTTTTTTTTTTGTGTTTTGATTGTCTTTATATTTGTATTTGGAATGACTTATGGAGGGAGGAAACTAAGTGAAATTTTTTTGATTGACTATAATATCCTTCATAAAACATATAATTCCTTGAGTAATTTTCTTTCATCATCTCTAATTAATTACGTATTCCTCTCCTATTCATTCATCTCCTTAAATTAGTTATGCTCATATACTTAATATTTTGTGTATTCATTTCAATTTTAATTATTGATTTCAACTTTAATGATGTTCATACCATTATGGGTAATCACAAAATAGTACACTACCACTTTTTTGTTTTCCCACATAATGGACTTGGCAATTTTGGGTTTTCTAATTGTGACTACATGAATGTATAAGTTTTAATGTTCATAGGCCATATGTTTTTTGACTACATGAAAGGTTGAAAATTTTCTCCTAAGTTGATGTTTGTGTTTTATGAACTTGGGAAAACCAGGAGTTACATAGTAACTACAAAAAACTTTTTAAACTTTTTCTCTTTTTCCTATTTGGTTTTAAGGATTGCTATAAAAATTTCCTTGTTTGATGCATTTGTTTGACGTAAAATTGCTCTCTCTATATCGTAGAACTCGATTTCCAAGTGATCACTTTTGCCTTTATTTATATGTGTGCGGGCTTGCGATTTTTCCAGAAATAAAAAGAGATTGTGGGTTTGTCCTTATATGTTGATGGTCTTGATCACAAATTTCTGCGCACAAGCATAATGCTGTAAGAACTTGCCCTTGTTTAGTTTTTTGGCCATTTGATTGAATGTTAGTTGGACAATTGCTTTCACTTCAACTCTTCGTTATTTTATTTCCACTCTATTTTGAAAAAAATATTTCAAGAAATCTGCAAAAGCATGAAACAAGTATCTAGAGAAGTAAGATTTTGTGATCCTTTTTTCAGTTGAGTATGACATGCATCTGACATAAACCGCGTGCTAGATAGTGTATCTCTTCATTGAGTGTATATTTATAATGTCAAATATGATTAGATTTTACAAAATAATGATTAATATATAGATAGTATTTTATTGAGTTTAATCATACTATTTTTGCTCAATGCAAGTTAAATTAAGGTGTTAGAATTGTAAATAAGCACAATAATTTATCTAATACTTTCATTAGGTTTTTGTGTCAGAAGTTTAAATTGAACAGTAAAAAATATGAAAAGATATTGGTTTATGTATCTTTGAAAAATATTATCTATTTTTCGCCAAGCAAATATAGATTGAAATTTTTTCAACCTTTGATCCCTCAATCCCCAAAAAAGAAATTAAAATTACAATCTTACTGAGCTTACTTTAGCTATTTGCAATGTCGGGATCATTTTTTCTAATTTTGGTGCCAAGCAAAATATTCACAATAAAATTGTTCACGTGGAAAGCACGTGTATACCAACTAGGTCTATCATATCACTCTTGTATATGCTAGCAATCTCTATCTCAATATTCCATAGCAATGTGTCTAGGATTAAGGAGAAGCCACCATCCTACTTTTCTTAATTTCCTGTATTTTTAAGTTTTGGTTTTTATAACCTTATGTGGCTATAAGTTATTGGCTCTTGCTTTGTTGCTGTTATTAGGTTTTTTAATATTTAATGTGTATTCATTTTTTTGGGTAAGGGTAATGTTGTCTTTTTTCTTTTTTGGGTCAGTTTCTTTGAGAACATATAAACTTAATTATCTCTAAAACAATTTTTTTTTAGTGCTTAAAATGGATATGTAGATAGGTCATTCTACATATTCACAAAAATACATTGTCTCTCAGTATTATACAACTATTTACAGAAGATCCCACAACACCTACATCGGGGCCGAAATTAATATTCCACCGTATGCTTTGGATGTTGAGGATTAGGTTTAGCCCCTCTAAGTTGCTATAAAGACTTAAACCCAATCATTACACAAGAAAATCTGAATTCTTACTCACTAGACCAGTTGCTTAGTGGTAAAACAGCACTTTGTTGACATAGCAACTTTGTATTTCCATGATGACTCGAGGATCAGTTGTTTGTTGTGTGTATGGTGCATCACACTAACACCAGCTGCGACAGCACCACGGTCGTTTTTTGTAAGATGTAAGTTGTGTGTGTATATGGGAGTGAGTGTGTGTCTTTGGTTGTGTTAATGTTTACTCTTTTCCGGTTCTTTATTATTTTGTTTATTGATTAACATTAACATATTCGTTTTTGGTTCTATTTTTCCTAGAAAGTGATGGTGATATTGTGAGTCATGTCTTCTCACATGAATTATATTTTGTTTATAGTTTATATTTTTTTGACGGAATTGATTACATGTTATTTTTTAAAGGATATCACATATTCAACACGTAATTATTCTGTCAGAAAATTATATGGTCTGTCTATGTATGGACCAAAATGACACAAATTAAATACTTTAGGGACTAATATGATACAAATTGAATATTTTAAAGATTAAATTGATAAAATTAATATAATAAACACTAAACTGATAAAAAATATATATTTTAAAAACAAAAAATGCTAATAAACCAAATGGATATGTCAAGCAGCATTCCTCCTAGGAACGTACATCTCCATAACTTTTCACTCAAGCGTCGTCTCTTGGCCGTGGCCGCGGCCGCGATTGTATAGATGTATCTTCCACACAAAATAGGTCATTGGATCTAAAAGACCCACCATAGCACAAAAGTTTGTATCTTTTAAAAAATAAATTTCGAACCCGTCAAGTCATACTAAGGTTGAGTCTAGGATTTATTATTCAATCCATCCAACACGAATTATTAAATTAGGATGTAACTCAAATTCATAATTCGGGTTCAACTTGAAATTTATATGTATTAGAGATGATGTATCGTAAGTACAAGACGAAGAATTTGAGAAAGAAAAAAATTTATTAAGATGAATTTATTAAAGTTTATACAGTATTATATATATATATATATACACCCAATTTAACTCGAATTACGAGCTTGGACTCACCGCCGTGGGAGGTGAAAAAAATATTGAAAATATTTACCCACAAGGAGATAATTCTTGCTGTGAGAGGTGAAAAAAATCCCCAATAAAATGTACGGATTGAACTCGCTGAAGAACTTACACAAACTGACTCAGCAACACTCGATTCCATTGCAAATTCTCATTTACTGATTGCAAAATCAATCATCAACCCATTTTAGCCTTTAGTTTTCTGATTTCTCAGACCTTTCTTCATATAAATCTTTGATTTTTTCTTTCTTTCTTGAGACCTGTATATGATATATCTACATAGATACAGATAATGCTCAAAGCTATACAAATTCTTGGTTCATCGTCTGGGTTTGTTTCACAGAGATTGAAACCCCATGCGAATCATGGCCCTTTTTTGGTATCAGTCTCTATGCTACCATCGCCGTCTTCTTCTTGTTCTTTAAGAAGATTAACAACGAGAAATATTTTCCAATCGCCCATTTCTTCAGCTCGCAAGAATCGTTGCTTCAGAGCATTAAGGATGTCTTCAACTCAATCTGAGTCAAACCCAGATGCGACTTCGTCTTCTTCTCCAAGTTCATCCTCATCTGTCACATTTCGATCAACTGTGAGTTTAATGTGTGAATTTCGATGGGTTTGGTTTTTTTTTTTTACTTCTTGAATGTTTATTGGAAATTTTCTTGGTGTGTTATGGTGGATTTGTGGTTTTTTGACAGTGTGGAGCGATGGATGGATATTTTTGTTTTACCGAATAGCATGCTTTTGCTTCTCTTTTGTGGCTTTACATGATATTTCAATATGTTACCTTTTGCGGTTCGATTGAATTTCTCTACTGATTGTCGTATATGATGTGATGCTGTGTTGTGGGTTTTGGTTTCGCTGATAATGTGCTGAGATGGTGGTCTCTGAGTTTACATGATTGCCCATTAGGTATTCATTTGTAAGTTTTTTGAAACATACCCCATAATCTTAGCCTTAATGCTTTTGATATTAAATTCCGGAGTGCGTTTTACATTTTTTATGGTCAGTTGTGGTTGATCTGAATTTTTTGGCTAGACCCTCTGTTGTTTGATGGTTTATCAAGGATCCGGATTGGGGGGTCAAGACCCTTGAGCATCTTAACAATTATTTGATGATGAGGTTTTCTGTTATGATGTTTGGTGGAATGGCAATGTGGTGATAGTGGATTTTATTCTTATTCGTAATTGGGTTTCTAAAGTGTGTAAATATCCATTATATAGGGGGAGGGGAGGTGGGGATGTCACTATTTGCAGTTAGTAATTGTTTAGAAATTAAAATTTGAGTTTTTTCCTCTGTCTCTTTGGTCAAGTTCTTCCTCCCATAGAAATCCCAATTGTGTTGGAACACTAGCAATAAAGCAAATTACAGTAATGGTTGTAGAAAAGGCAGCAACATCCTAATTGGAAGTCATTGAGAATTATGTGCAAATTTGTAAGAATTCATGGAGTGGGATTGTATATTTTAGATAATTTCCTTAATTATTCCACCCTTAGTTTGCTTACTTCTTTGAGATTTTTTTTTTTTTTTTGGTATTTTGACATTTAATTTAGTTTCATCATCGTTTGGATTGACGTAATTTTGTTATTTATTTATGAACAATTAACTTACAATAAAATTAAGGGAAGACCTGGAAGGTCAGTATACAGGGGGTACTTATTGACTTTTCAACTCTTCCAATTCCAGACAGATCATTCGAAAAATGAAAACAAACAGAGCTTCACACTGTTAATGTACTACTATTATCTATGGGCAGTTCTTGTTCCTCATAAAATTCTCCCATTTGTTCCTTCCACATAAACTTTGAGTGTGTTGCACCTTTTTCTCCTTTTGCATTTCATTGCTTTTCTTTGTATAGACATATTTCTGACACAGGTTAAGCATGCAGTATGAATTCTTAAATCTGCAACGCCTAATTGGCATGACTAGGCCTTGTTATTACTGTGTTCGTGTCATGACTGTGCTACTTTTGCTGTTTCTCTCTCTATTTAGTGTATTTATACATGGATCTGAAGTTGTTGCTATTACTGTTGACCTGCACTAGCTATTCGATGATAATGGAGGCAGATGAATTAATCCATAGAATAAACAATGATAGTCAGTTTTGGCCATGACAACGATGTTTCTTTAAATTACTACATATTCTGTACAGTTACTATCTTTTGAGCTGCAATTTTTGAATGCTTGTGTGTGTATATATGTGGGTGCACGCGTGCAAGTTTGTATTTTATCTTTTCTTTCCCTGCCACCACTTCCTTTCTTTTTGAATTTCTTGTAATATCTACCACTATGCAGGGCAGTACTCGTAAGATCAATTTCTGTCAGTGGTGTGGTGGCCCAACAAAGCATGAGATACCTGATGGGGAGGAGAAAATGAGAGCTATATGCACTCAATGTGGAAAAATTGCTTATGTGAATCCTAGAATGGTAAGATTGTCTAATTTCATGTTGAGATAGAGCTTCTGGACTTCATTTACGTAATTGCATTTGCTGACCAGATGACCTGAATGATTAAGGCTCTTAATTTTTGCTATGTTTCCCACTATGATGGAAAATGAAAATTACTTCATTGTACAACTTTGCCAACAGCTCATTTTGAATTAATCATCTGTTGTTTTCAAGTTGCATCAGTTATGTATATTTCATCTTCACATGTTTTTGGATTAATAAGGAAAATTTTGAAACTTTTGGGCCAAAAGTTGGGGTATGTTAAAAGAGACAATTGTATCCTATCAGAAAAAGAAAAATTAAAATAGACACTAATTTGTAGTCTTGATTCATGAATTTTGATGTAGCTACAGAAGGTATGATTCATCAGTGAGTTCACTTAGAATGCACTAATCTATGATGACTGTAGGCTTAATCTGCGGCAGACTTCTGCAATTCCTAATGAACATGATTAGGTGGAATAGATGCTTGCTTACGTTGTCAATTAGATTGCCTTGAAATGTGACCAGAGGCTCAAACTGTGATGAATTAGGATGTGATGATTGAGATGCTACTGGAATGACTGAGAAAGATGAGGCTATAACTTGTAACACTATTCTTTCTTAGCAAACTTAAATAATTCTTATACATGATAAAAATAAGCACACGATTTTAGTTAATTGATCTATTTATCTGTAAAGAAGAGTAGTGATGGTGCTTCCATTGCTAGTAAGTATGGATTGAGTCAAGTTAAAGATGCAAGGGTTTTTGGGTGTTTTTTTTTTTTTGGGGGGGGGGGGGGGGGATTGAGCTCGCAATGTGTTAAAGATACTTAATATCTATAGCTTTGAGTGAATGCATTGCTTTTGATAGGTTGTAAGGCTGTTCAATGTATTTATAGCCAATTACTATAATCAAGTGATGACAACACAGACTATAATTATTGTGAAGGTTATATCTTATGCCAAATCTTCAGACAGTAGAATGGCTCTTGTATATTCTGATTAAATGCCAATGATCTAAAGTTGGTCTTGTTCTTCCTAAAGGATGCAAATGCTGATCTTTATTTTCAATGGACACTTGCAGGTTGTGGGTTGCCTCATTGAGCATGATAACAAGATACTACTTTGCAAGCGGAAGATTCAACCATCATATGGTCTTTGGTATGCATTTACATTAATGGAGCTTTGATCTGGAAAAATACTTGGGTTTTCATAATACTAATTGTTTTATTCTATCAGCTCATAATCAAAATATGTACATTTATATATATGTAGGTGCTGAATTTTCAATTATAAATCCATATCCACGACTCTTCAATGGTCACCATAATGAGTTAGTTTATTTTCTTGGGTATTAAAATCGTAGGACACTTCCTGCTGGTTATATGGAGATTGGGGAGTCTGCTGCAGAAGGAGCAATCAGGGAGACATGGGAAGAGGCAGGTGCAGAAGTGGAAGTTTTGTCTCCCTTTGTGCAACTGGACATCCCTCTTATAGGCCAGGTGAGGAGAAACAGTAGTTTGTTCAACGTACTTAGATTTCCTGTGCACTTGCTAAAGATGTTTGTGTTGAACAATCATTTGTCTTTTGGAGCAGACCTACATAATTTTCTTGGCCAAGTTGAAGAAGCCACACTTTTCACCAGGCCCTGAATCATCAGAATGCCGGCTTTTTGCATTTGATGAGATTCCATTTGATTCTTTGGCATTTTCCTCAATGTTGGTTACCTTAAATTTGGTATAAACCAGATCACTCAATAAGAATCATCCTTTGTCATTCATTTGCTTTTGTCACATAATTCATGCCATTATGTGTGATTTGTGGGTGTAGTACACTGAAGATAGAAAGATTGGAGGGCCGGTGTTTCACTATGGCACCATTAACAAGAGGTATTTCGATCTACATATTAAAGATTTCAATCTATAATACCCCTGACAGAATTTATTCAAGAATATACTATCTTTTAATCTCCTGCGCAATTTGCTTGCCAGAATAGACGTGAAAAAATAATGAATGCAAATGTTCAGTTTTGGACTTTGGTTCATAGGAGACCAAAGATTTCAGGTCATGTTTGGAACAACTACTTGGGTTCCTACAGTAATTTTGTTATTCCCTCTAATTGATTAAGTAATTAAATTGGTGGTTGGGCTCATTCTTGGTGCATAAGGCAGATGTTGTGGTAGGGTAGGAAATTAATTGAATTGGTGGCTGGGCTCATTCTTAGTGCATAAGGCCGATGTTGTGGTAGGGTAAGAAATTATCGTAGTGGATGGGGTGCTAGTGGTATTGGTAAGATTGGTAACTCTTGAAGCACCCTTGGTGGGTGATTTAAGTTTCTGCATCTCTATTCCTTCTCTAAGTGAAATAGTGTCCTTGAAGAAAGAGGGAGAGAGAATCTGTTTTTCTTTTTTTGCTTAGGAAATGTTCAAGCAAGCCCTTTAGATTTTCATAAATTTAGGGATAGTCATTGTATTATTTGAAACTTCACCGCCAGCCCCTATCAGTTTTGTCATCAATCTCGGACCTCTCTCATCTTTCTAGTTTCTTCTCTCTCGGACTGTCGGTGGAACTCATCGTCTTCCCTCCTTTCCTATCTCCCCAGTTTGGAACCCACTGCTCCCGCCATCCTTCTCCTTTCACAGTCCCTCACCCCTTAGTCCACAACCCCCCTTCCCTCCCTCTCTCCCTTCCCCCACACGCTTTTAAAAGGGGTAGAATCTCTCTCTATCTCACACACACTCCACAATATATGATTTAATGACAGTCAAATCCTATTGTTGAGTTGAAAGTGATGGGTTCGGAGTTGTGGTCTTGGTTTGGTGTGTAGTCTGTACGGTTGAGCCCACTGGGTGTATGTGTGGTGGGTAAAGAAAAAGATCAGTGCTGATGATGGCAGAATAGTGTTGGGTGAGGTTTGTTCCCGGGGTACTGATTGTGGAGCATTGCTTGGTGCAGTTGGGGCAGTGGGTGGGTGGAATTTGGTGAATTTGGGGAAGTGTTACAGCCTTAGAGTTTAATGATAATTTTTGAAATTGGCAAACCTCTACGAATGGTGCTACCAGTTGGAATAGTATATTTCTTTCGGTGATTAGAGTTTAATGATAATTTTTGAAGGACTTGTATGAAAACCTTGAATATTAATTTCCACATTTTGTGTTTATGTTTTGATGGTTGTTGACAGGCCTGGCTCAAGCCCATCGGATATTCGTGCATACTCTCTTGATTATCATTTGCAGTGCTGATGAGCCGGTTATTCTTTTGCCAAGATTGCATTGTGAATAGAACAGATTGGAGAGTACCGTACTCCCAATATGTACACTGTTTTTCCTTTGCCCTGCTTTAAAATTTACTGCTCTGATATTTGAGGTCACCAAATGATGGGTCAATTGTACAATAACCTTTGACATTTGTCGAAATTTTTTGGTTGTTGATGGTAGATAATTCTGCTGATAATTCCTGTCTGTCAGATGAAATAAAAAGAAGGGTTAATTGTTTTTTAATCCCTCGTGGTTTCGGCTAGAAATATCTTACCTATTTGATGTTTAAAATTATATATATTATTATTATAGTTATGTATCAAAGTGAAGTAATTGACACTGTTAACAGAATTAAAAAATTATCATAATACTCACATTTTAAAATTAGATTTTTTGTCTGATTTATTCTTGACCATAAAATTAATAGAACATGATAACAAACCAACACATTTTAACCAAATATGTTGAGTCTTTTTCTTTTCCCCTCAAATGAGGTTTTGATTCGGGCTGCAAATCACTCATGTTTTTTGATATATAATATATTGTAAAATGCATTTTAGGCACTTAGACAATGTCTTTTTTAGAAAGCAACAATGGAAATAAAACTCACACCATGTTTGAGGTGTGTAGGGCATATTCTCTGTTAACTTGGATGATAAAAGTAGCCAAATAGTCATTTCACTTTGGTGCATAACTAAAAAGGGTAATGTTTATAATTTTAAACGTCAAATAGGTAATGTGCATTTAGCTAAAATCACATTAGGTTAAAAACAATTAACTCTAAGAAGAATAAAATGTAATCAACAAACATTTACTGTTGCTCTCCTTTGCTAATTTGCAATTCTGTTGTTGTAGAACATGGAAACAACATGTATTGAAAAAAAATCAAGGGTATTTTCTGTAACAATATACATGTTTGAAAATATAATGAAAGAACTACATAATCTACAAATGTAACAACAATATAGTGCAAATTTCACTTTTGGCTCATACTACATTTTGCCAATGTAAGAGGTTTCGACCATTGCGGGGTTTGAATGGAATTAGATGTGTGCAATCGCATGCAAAGAGAATGTTTCCGTATTGAAAATTGTTATTGGTCTGAGTTGGTTTCCTCCAAGAGTGTAATCCAAATTTCTGCAGCTGATGGAGCCATAGCTGGCCATGTAAAAGCAGGTTTCTCACTAGGGATGGGTGGTGGAGCTGCTTCTCCAGTAAGAACCTGCAAAGCAGTCCTCATGGAGGGCCTTTGATACGGGTTCGGATGGCAACATGCTAATCCCAACCTGAGCACACACTCTGCTTGCTCCTCGTTGAAATCTCCATTCAACCAGCTATCCATGGCTTCGATTATCTTCCCCATCTGGTATAGTTCCCACACCCAATCAATGATTCTGTGATTTCCAGGCTTTCTTCCACAGGCAACTTCAAGTAGTAGAACACCAAATGCATAAACATCTGTTTCGACAGTTGCCCTTTCTACATGAAAACTCTCTGGAGCCATATATGCGGGCGTTCCAGCAATCTCTTTCGTTGAGTGATGAGTTTCTCCCCCCAATTGAATGGTTCTAGCCAGTCCAAAATCTCCCAACCTGGCATTGAACTCGGAATCCAGCATTATATTGCTGGATTTAACGTCCCGGTGAAGCACCCTTTTTTCACACCCATTGTGAAGATAATCCAGTGCTGTTGCCACACCACAAATGATTATATGCCTTCTTTCCCAACTCAGTGTAGAACTAGAACCTCCCATGTCTCGAGACTCATCGTGAAATAGGTGATTGTCTAGGCTTCCATTTGGCATTAACTCGTATACCAAAGCGAGTTCATTCTTTTCATAACACCATCCAACTAATTTGACAAGGTTTCTGTGATGGAAGTTGCCAATTGTAGTGATTTCTGCTATGAAATCTTGCACCCCTTGGTTTGAATCCTTTGAGAATCTTTTCACAGCTACCTCTTTTTTGCTTAATAGTCCTTTGTAGACTATCCCACATCCTCCTCTCCCGAGCATGTTCTGAGGGTGGAAATTTGCGGTGGCGTGTTTAACGTCTTTCAGCCGGAATTTCTGTGGAGCAGATGCTGAACCCTGAATCTGTAGCTCCACTTTCGAATTCTTGTGCATTTGCTTCTCTTTCATTTTCCTTCTCCAGCACAGGACAAAGAAAAGGCCAGCTAGAAAGGCAATCAGAGCAGCTGATATTAAGATCCACATCCACAAGCGGTTGGCTGTATCATCATCATCAATGTCTGTACTAGTGAAATTCCAAGCCCTTATACAGTTGAGCTGAGTATATTCCCCAGTGGAAGCTGAAAATCCCACATAAACATCTTCTGAAAGATGCTCAGAGAGATCAAGAGGCCTCGAAATTATGGGACTGTTCATGTTGTATCCTGAAGTGTTGGTCATCAATACATATATGGCCAAGGTCTTTAGTCCCCCATCATACTGAACCCTCATGGGGATATCAATACCACTCGAAAGATTAACACCAATGCCATTCAATGAAACTTGCTCGATGGAGTAAACGCTGTTTACATCGATACCAACATGGTTGTCATCGATATCCTCCTCGAAGCTCTTCTTCGTGTCAAACTCAATCGCGAATATGTTGCCTCCTGTAGTCCCATTTGTGCTTGCGTTCACAACACCAAGCCATTGCCCTGAACTGTTATCTGGGACAGAACCTCTTTCGTTTGTCAGTATGAAAGCCAGTCCTTCACCCCATATTGTGTTGTTCTGGGGAGTAATATTAACAACAAAGGTAGAATTAAAGGACGCTGTGATATTCCTTTTCCTCAGCTGGAACGGATGTTTATACAATATCCGTCCAGCTAAATTTGCGATAGAAGCTCCACGAGCATCGCCTGTCACTTGAAGGGCACCAAAAGCTATGTATGAATGATCTGTCATGGTGAAATCTGTCTCGTTCTGCCTGGTGAAGGTTGCATAGCTGAAATTTAAAGACTCTACTTGAATAACAGAGCTACTCAAGAGAGTTGCTACCACAAGAAGATTGACAATTTGAGAAAAGAACATACGCTTGTTGGCATAACACATACTGCACAAGTGCATCAACTTGATGACAATAGTTGCAAACTTGAAAATGGCGAATTGATGGATTTTTGGGTAATAGATTGGGTTGTAAGTTGAAGGAGGAATTTGGGTAGCTCCTTTTCTGGAATAAAAAGATGCAACTTTAATGACTAATTTGCAGAGGAAACTTCATTGCTCTTGACACTCTTCTGATTTAGTCTATGGAGGAAACTTCATTGTTGCCTTCTGTTTTGAATTACAAAATAGTCAAAGGTTTATACAAATGTCTTGTGGCCATCATGGAGGTTGATTGTGGATTGATAATGCTTCCATAGATGTTTAGGCCTTTGACTTGTGTAAAAGATTGAAATCTTGGGCTTCCCTGCATTTTCTCATCAAAGAATATTCACATTGTATTTTGAAAAAGTCAAAAGCTGATCAGATTTGTTTTCTTTGTTGCTAGTGTATACATTTGGACAAGACTACGGTACTTCCAAATTTTATAACTTTTGTGAGTTTTGATACAAATTTTGTAGTTTATTTACAACAAAAAAAATTTCAATTTTTTGGGTTACACTGCAACTTTTAATGTTTGAATTACAATTTTTTTGGACCGAATTACAACTTTTGTGGTAACTTGTAATCGATCTTAAAAATATTACGATTGATCCTAACATTTTTAAGATCGATCACAAATCATCACAAAAGTTGTAAAATGACCCTAAAAAATTATAAAAAAAGAGTCTTACCCCCAATATTTTATCTAGAAATTAGTTTCTAAGATAATGAGCGTTTGGTCTATTCGAAATCCTCATTTAAATGTGACTTACTCTTAGTAGTTTGATGGAAAGCTCAAAAAATCTCAAAATCGAGATAACTGAAAGTTGCGTAACTTCAATAGTTAAATTTTTAATTTTTGTTTGAATTTTTTCTCTAACGGTTCATTGTTTCAAACCTTCCAAGATGTCGTCTTCTATAGTAATGAAGGGATATATTCCTTCAACTAATGCATAGAACACTATTAACAGAGTTCAATTGCAATATCAAAGTATTAGTTATTTTTCGTGCTTGAAGGTACAGAGTAATAAAAAAAATGATCAACAATAAATAAATTTGTATTCACACCCAAATCAAATTACAAAGATAGAAGAGAGAGAAAATAATTTAAGTACCGATCGTAGTGGAGGCGAACTGTGGTAGTGGGAGACGGTGATGGTTATGGTGGGTCAAAACGACCATTACTAATGATGGCAGTCGTAGGTGACAATGGTAATAATGGTGGTGGGGCGGTAAAGCTCGTGGTAATAGGGGTGATGGTGGGACAATGACGGTGGTGGTAAGATAGAGGTAGCGATGGTGATGATAGGGGTGATGATGATAGTGGTAATAAATATAAGAATAAAATGATGATGGTGGTGAGTAGTGACGGTTGGCGTGGTGAGGTTCACCCTTTGGCTAGGGGTGTAGTTTGGTTAGTTTGAGAAGTCAACCCTAGTTCAATTTTAAGTATAAATTTTTTAATTCTAATTCTAATTTTAATTTGACCTCAATCCTAGATACTCAATTCAAGTATTGCCCAAGTTGAATTCGGGCAAGTTCGGATTGAATTTGCATTACCCAATTCAGGTTTATTTTGGGTTTGAATTTGAGTTGAGTTTGTTCAGGCCCGAAATCAACTTGTTGTTCTAAATCTGGTATATATTGCATAAAATTTACTTAAAATAACAACCAACAATTTCAATAAAATGTTAACATAAAGAACATAATATTTAAAGCATAAGAAAATATATCGTACAAAAATCAAATTACACTTTCCTTAACATAAAAGCATAATAGCCAAATTAACATAAAAAACATACTGATCTCAATGTTTAACCATAATATTTGGGTTGAGCCTAATTTAATATTTAGGTTGAACTCGATAACTAGAGGCCTCAACTAGAGTATTGCTCAAATTCAATTCGGGCTGATGTTTTTTAACCCAAACTCAACCTAAGTATTAAAAACCTCGACTCAAATTCTTTTTTTCTGAGTTGAGTTCGGGTTAAATTTGAGTTAACCCACCCAAATTATACTCTTACCGACCTCGCCCCGTTGATGTGGGGCCGAGGATGTCCCACAAGGATGTTCTCTCTTGTCTCAAGTCGTAAATATAAGTTAATGATCTTCCGAATAAAAAAAAAAAAAACCCTCAAACTCGTCCATTTAACTACAATCACTAAATTGTCAGCTATCTTATTCAAGTACTTGACAGATTCAAACTGAAAATTATTCCGCACACTTCATTTCAAGCTTATCAGATAAATTCTGCAGAAGAATATTGACTAAAACATCAAGAAGACTTTACTGATTATTCAAAGCTTCCAAAATGGACTTGCCGAGGATAGACTTTTGAAATCGTGTTGTACGACACGCTAGCACTTTGTATCTCAAACGAAAATAGAAAAGAAAAAAGAAACAAAATAGCATTCGCTTTCGCGTTCCGTGAACCAATTCGTGTTATGAGAGCGAATTTTTCATCAATTCTCACTTTTATTCTATAAAATTATGGAATTTGCGCTTTTATTTATTTATATACTAGTAATAACTCGTATCTAAAGACATTTCTCAATCTAAAAACCCACCATTTTAAAATAATTTTTGTGTCATTTACTTTAATTAAAAAAATTAAAATTAATCAAGTGCCGCCATTTTTTTAATAAATTTTGTGAAATTTTTCGCTAAAATAAAAACTCAAAAAATGCACAATTTATCTACAAAACTTATATATCTCATTGTATGTATCGTTATCCAAAAATATGAAGATAGAGATGAATATAATTGAAAAATAGCTTTTTAATGGCATAAGAATATAATGAATTGACCATATTTTATAAAAAAAATTCAATCACCATTGTTAACCTATGTTATGGTTAAACATATCTCACTACCACAAAGGTCACCAACTTTACATATTCAATCTACCGATAATAAAACTAGAAATCAGATATAGACAATATTTGATAGAATTGTAACTTACAATTTTGTGACATTTTCAATCCATTACCACATGAAATCAACCAAAAGACATTGTCAATGCAAAATCGAGAATAATCAATGTACCAACGTCATATCAAAACTCTTAGTGGTGAAATTCCGATGAATCACTAAGGATAAAGAAATAAAATTCTTAGTGCTGAATATTTTTATTTTAATGTTTGATGAAGTTCATAGTCAATGTAAAATTAATGGAGCCTACGGTAGTAATAGCATTACTAAATATCAAAAGTTATCATAACTTATCAATGGGTCTTTGGTCCAATAATATTCTTTATTTTATGAAAACTTTGTCTTCTTGAGGTCAATGGTTCAAGTCCTCTTCTTTTACCCAAAAAAAAAAAAAATTTATCATAACTTATCTTGAAGTTGACCTCAAATCCTGCATGAATTCTTCACCAAATCAGAATAAAAGAAATTTGAATGGGCCCACCAGTTGACAACTTAATACCTGCCACATTAAATGTTCAAACGGTTCATTCCACGTAAACGTGTTTTTTGCCTTTTTATTATTGAGCTATCCTTTAATTAATGTGCTAATGTTTTGAATATTCCAACGATAATGTGTTTTGAATATCTAATGTTTTGAATATTCCCACGATAATGTTTTAAAAAGGGTGCTTCTCTGCTCCGTCTCTTCTTCCATGACTGCTTTGTCCAAGTAATTCCTCTAGCCTCCCCTTTAACTTGAATGTGATTAACTCTCTTTCTAAACTATCATGTAGCAGAATCATCATATTCGAAAAGTACCACAATGCATAGCTGCATTGACTGTTGATGAATAATTTTCATCACTGAAAACCAGACCAAAACACATCTACTTTTATCAAAAAACAGTAGCTAATTAACACATACATTAATTAACCCAGGTCGTGGGTCTATCCGAGATGTCAAATATCACTACTTATGAAGTAATGCAGGACACAGTGTCGAATACCTTCCTCCTTCCTCTCCCTTCCCCAACTCCTCGTAACATAGTGTAGTGCAGCGTAGACTCATCGCCATTTATATATATAAGAAATGGTAGTCCAGTTCACAAAGTTCTCACCGCCACTGTGGGGTCAGGATAGAAAGATTGTTTTGTGACTCGAAATCTTGACGCCAAACCATCTGTATGAAAGATAAGCAGATATTAACTAATTTTCATGTTCTCATGGCTTCAATTTTTAATGATGTTCTTGCGTGTGACCTGGGTTTTCTTTTGCTGAATTACAGGGGTGCGATGGGTCAATACTCCTTGATGATACTTCGTCTTTCAGAGGGGAACAAACTACTGGTCCAAACAACAACTCTATCAGGGGACTAAATGTGATTGACCAAATCAAGTCTAAGGTGGAGAATGTGTGCCTTGGTGTGGTGTCATGCGTTGATATTGTAGCTCTTGCCGCTCGTGATTCTGTCGTCCTCGTGAGTTACAATCCAAAATACTTAATAGCACGACAACACATATTTTGTTATTTATTTTGCTATTAATAGCACATCGATACATTTAAACAAAATTTCTACCCAGAACAAATGCAATGAAGTCATAAACAGTCACCTTCAACTAACAGCTGCTTCTTTTCTGATCCATGACTATATATAACATTGTCTTGGTTGCAGCTTGGAGGGCCTAGTTGGGATGTGAAACTTGGAAGAAGGGATTCGAGAACATCTAACTTTTCTGCTGCCAATAGTGGCCAAATTCCTCCTCCCATTTCTACCCTTAACAACCTCATCAATAGGTTCCAAGCAAAAGGCCTCTCCACCAATGATATGGTTGCTCTATCAAGTAACATACATGATACATCTGTATGTGTATAGGGGTGTGTGTGTGTGAATGGTTGCATCGCGGTATCTATTGGGTGGTGGGATAGTGGTGGCTGCTTTGTTCAGTTTGCTATTAATGGCGCCGGCAACGACTATAAGAGATGGAAAATAAGAGAGAAAAGAGATATGAAGAGGAAAGAGAAGCTGCATTTACGTTGAAGAAGGGAGACTGGGATAAGAGAGAGAAGAGAGATATCTGGAGACAAAAATACTAAGAAAAGAGTTTAGAGAGATAAGAGACGTGTGAGGGACAAAAAGAGTGTAGACTGTAGAGTCCTGTGATGAGAAGTAAGCTTTGAATTGCTAAATATGGGTTGAGGAGAGAGAGTCTATATGAGAGAGATAGAGACGTATGAGAGATATAAATGTAGAGTCTTACGATGAGAGGTTTCTTCATGGGCGGAAAAAGAAATTCAGGACTAACTATTGACCATTTGATCAAAATTTTTGAGATGATCTGAACCGTCTTTTATGTTAAGATTATTTTGTCCATTGGATGTGTTTATGTTTTGTCTCAAAACGATCTGAACCTCTCTTTGTTTCTGGATTCAAACTCAGCTCTACTTTATTATATAAATATATTTTTGTCAATATTTTGAACTTATACAAGAGAAAGAGTGGTGAGGTTTTAACCTGCGATTGCATGGTCCAACAGTTGGCTTCGATGGCCATTAGGCCAACTATTGATCCTCACTTACTTATATGCTTACTCATTATTACTTAAAATTTTATATTAAAAGTTATGATTCATTCATAAGATACATATCAAATTAGACTAATATTTATAACCTATAGTTTTTATTTCAGGATCTTATAATTAATAGGGTAAATAACATAAATGCCCCTCAAACTTTAGTGTCAGTTTTAAATTAGCCCCTGAACATTCAATTGTACCAATTTAACCCTTATACTTTTACATCTGTACCAATCAACTCAGTTCGTCTATTTCAAACGTTAAAACTAATAAGAAATAGGGAAAGTTGCAGGTGCTAAGGGCATAATAGGCATTATACTCAATGGATCTGGGTATTGGCGCCAAACTTCTTCCCCTTTCCCTCCTCCTCTTGCTCTGTTCGCCAATATAAATCTGCATCTTCTTTGTATGGCATGATTGGTAGACGATAGAGGGAGAAAGTGGGCTGTGCAACAAGGGCATTGTAGAAGCATTGGATTCAGCAGTGATAGAAGCCATGGATGTGTCTTGTAACTGCGACACTATGGCAGTGTTGAAGACCTCATGGACGAATTAAAATCTAGGAAGGAGGTTTTATACCTGTGGCAAATCCATGGTAACTTTCATTTGTATTTTTTAAATGAAAGTGTTTCTCTTATCTTGTTTCTCTTACCTGTGGCAAATAAGAAATTATTTCTCTTATTTTGCTTTATCACAAAATTTTTAAAGTGTTTCTCTTATAATGCAAATTTCATTTAAGCAGGGAGATGTGGTTTATTTGTTTGGTGTAATCCACCTATGTGCCTTCGTGTGTGCCAAATAATTCCAGGATTGATAAACCGCATTTCGACAATAGAGAACCAGTTGAGAAGAAGGAGAAGACGAGAGATTTGTTAATGGATAGTGCTAATAATTTTGTGGTTGTTGCAGTGGCTTATGTGGAGCAGCAATCATGAAGATGTTGTAAAGAATCCATCTACTCAAAATGCATTGGGTACTGGGTGATAAATTACACTAATTTGGGCACCAAAGTAGTACTGATGGTTGTAAGAGAAACTTAATAGTCAGTATTGTAATGACTCTTGTACTAATTGTTTTTATTACAATCATATTGTGTAATGCTTTGGTAATGCAACTTGTTTTGATTTTTGATTATTTCAGTGGAATATGAGGCACTGCAAGTACATGTAAGAATAGTCAGTATAATTACTTAGAAATGAAACATCATTACAGGGATGTGTTCACAATGCACTGGCATAACAAAAAACATAGGCATAATCTTATACCAAACATCATTGTGACAAAATGTCCTGTTATAATCCTATACAAAACATGAAGGGAGATGTTTAAATACTTGTGCAAGTGGTGAGTGCATTTCTTATAAGGCCTAGTTTATGGATCTTGTTGTTGCTGGGAGTTCTCTGGTTCCAGTGGTCCTTCAAGGCAGAGCTGCTGTATCAGAAGTAGCAACTTCATGAGGAGGCTTGGGGTTATCTTCCCTGGACTATCTTCTACACATTTCTTGATGACCTTTGGAGTTCTTTGGTTGCTCTTTTTGACTTCTACCTGATCTCTCTTACGTTTCATGGTGGAGTTGTTTCTGCCCTGTGTAAGAGATGTTTTTAAGGAGGGCGGTTGGCTTTTCTTAGAACTGATATTCTCTGTATCTGGTCTTGTTTGAGGGGATGTATATGGCTCATTGTTTTTATTAGACTTGCTATTTGGTCTCCCGAAGCAGATTGATCTACACCTGTAACTTTATCCAGGTTTGCTCTCTACTCATAAATTCTTGCATTGAAGAAGCTTGAAGCTGGAAAGGCAAGAACTGTACGTGAAGCAGGGAGCTACGTTTTGCTGATTGCTGCTGTCTGATGTTGGAAGATTCAGCTGGTCTGTTGGAGCTGAGCTGGTATGGTGTTGCACAGAGAAGGAGATGAAAAGAGAGTTGCTGTACAATTATGATGGTTAATCACACCCCCCAACTTGAATATTACTAGTCCCTAGTAATACATAAATTCTAATATCTAAAAACTAAAAACAAAATAACCTAATAAAATAAAACACAAAGCCATTTTCGTAGGACTCACGATTGCATTTAGTATATGCAATAAGCCTTTAAACTCCTAGGTTCTCCCTAGTGGACGAGTATAGTCTCGTGAGGATTTCCAAAAATGATACCCACAAATATCACCCTATGATTAAATATCTGAATAATAATTTTATAATACAAATTACTACCACAATATAAAAATTCTAAGCTACAAGCTTTTTTTATAAGCACATGCAAAACAAAATATAGAACTTACACGCTATATAAATGTATGCACTTATCATGTTCCCATATAAACTCATGTGTAGTGTGAATTTACTATACCAAGCCAATAATTTATTCGGTAATCACCTCAACAACTATCAACTATTCGTCTTAATGTCAAATCTCACTATATAATTCGCTCATGAAAAATTTTCTCAAATTATAGTGACTAATCCCTCAAATATCACATGTGAGAAGAAGATATTTAAATTAAAACAAAATAATGCTCACATGTTTATTAAAAACAAACGTAATCCAAAAGAAAAGGATTTGATATAGTCTCATAAAAGGAAATCAACAGACAATATATAAACAATCACCATTCTCTTCCTTATTCACACGAGTCATGCATCCATCAATACACTCTTGAGATCAGATAGGACTTTATTTAAGGTTGTAATGGGGCCTTGAGATTAGGGTTTTGAAACGAAGGATATTCAGGAGTTCAAAAGACTATCCCGAGAGAACATGTACATTACACAACCAATCTTCTTTCCATAACCTTTCACTCTTCACCCTTTAGAAGCATAATTTACAACACTTGCTCATATTTTTTTTCAACTCATGATTGCTATTTTTTTCTTTTAAGTCAGCTAGACATATAGTCTATCTTTTTTTTTTTTTTTTAGTAAGACATCTAATGCAAGTATTCACAAGTATGTAAAACTTTTTTTTTTCATCTTTTCTCAACCAGCATCTCCCAAATTACATAAACAATAAAAAGCTCAATCTCGGAATAACCAAGGTTAAAAGATATTATTTTTTTCATTGGCTTGGTTATTATACATTGGGTATAAGAAATAAAATTTTACTTCATAGGCTCAATCATGTCTTCTAGGGATAACAATATTCAAATAATAAGGTTTAGACTCAAATAATATCAAAGATGACCTAAAATCATATCTCAAGAGTTTTTGATAACACACTTCCCATTCAAATAATTTAAAGTCAAGTAATCATTAATAATATTGGTATTGACCAAAACAAAAATAATGAGACTATTGAAAGAAATTAGTAGAATAAAAATATTATTTATTGAGTAAATGTAAATAACCCGCCATGAAAGATTTGATCAAAACTCATCAGGATTTTTATACATCTCCACTATATGTTTCAAGTTTTCAAAGTAAAATACCTAACAAATTTTAAACTTAGTAAAGTTTAAAGTACAAATTGTGAGTTTTTATAAAAACATGATATGAGATACAAAAATATAGAATAAACTTCTACATAATGCTTAAACAGTTACAAATTTAAAGCTAAACAAATTATTTCTATATTGTGGTGTCAAATTATGCATAAAAATGTTATTTAAATATTTAATAATAATTAATTTAATTTAATTTATTTTTTTTTAATTTTTGAATTAACATAAATAAACTAGAAACTGTCACAAAAATAAAAATAAAATAAACTAAGAATTTTCACAACACAAAACATACTCCCCAATCTAAATCCAACATTGTCCTTAATGTAAAAATAAGTACCTTAATGCTCAATAAAAAAAAATAATAAAGATCAAAAGGATAGGAATACCTAGTGCTGCAACAACTCTAAAACCTAAAAATAAAAACTCAACAAACAAACAAAACTATAAATTGAAACAAACAGGAAGGAAACTAAAATTAAACAAAAAAAATAAAATAAAATCTATCTACTATGTACAAATAAAAATAAAAACACACACTCAATCCGGCTTAAAGTTAAATTTAAATATGCGACCATTCAAATCTTCCTTCAAGTCAAGCTTGGGAGCTTTATCACTAGATAAAACTGGTGGATTGGTTTTTGGTGGAAGCTCCTCAAATTTCTGTCTCTCTCTCATTTCAAGTACCTCAAGTGGATCAAATAAAGAAGAATCATATACTCTGCTTGAAACAAGAGACTCAATCATATTAACTTCATGCACATCCTCATCAATATTTCCTAGTTGTTTGCACACATTAAAAATATTGAGCTCTAATGTCATATTCCTCAAAGTTAACTTCATCACACCATTCCTGCAAT